ACTCCATCCTGCCCCTGGCGGGTATCAGTTTAACCCAGGTGAGGCACTAACCTGGCTGCCAGGGAGACGAGGAGCAGAAATGGAGACACAGAGCGCAGTAACGGTAAAAAAAAAACACTGATGGATTTTGGGAATTTGAGTGACTACACGTGTGTGTGTGTGTGTGTGTGTGTTCACGTCCACGCGTGTCGCCCCGCTCCCCGGCTACTTCACATGCTACGCTTCAATGGCTGCCAGATCTGACAGGCCGGCTACCCAGAATTCCCGTGGGCCGATCCTCTCAAGGTTGGAGGGTCTCGTTGCCATGTGAACTGCACAGAGCAGGAAGAGCCGCAACAGGAGCCGCTTCCTGTCTGAGCAGGTGTGCCATGACAACAGCTGCTCATTTACTTCAGTCCAAACACGGAAAAAAAAAAAAAAACTGAAAACAAAAAAGTTAAAGTCACTTTAAAGTAACGAAGACTCCGAAACCAAGTGACACAATAATTGGACAGTTTAAAACAACAGATGGGCTCCACTTAAATCTACTTTCATTTTTTTTTTCTTTTTTTTTTTAGTTTGGTTCCGACGCCTAAAATAAGACATGAGACCAAACACTTTCTGGCGACAGCGGAGTACGACCGCGCTGCCAAGACTCAAATTTCTGCGCTGAAGGAACTAATTAACTGCTGAAGTGAAAGTTAATGTGTCAGTTTATAAAAAAAATAAAAATAAATTTTCTCTCTAAATTAGTTCCTACGTTTCCTCTTCACTTCGGAGTGGAACTCTTGTCGCACCGTCGCTGTGAAAAGAGGTTTTATTCTTCGTCAAAGTCACATGAGTCACGAGTGTGACACAAGTCACACTTTAAGGCAGTGGTTCTCAACCTGTGAGTCGCAGCACAAAAGTGTACCGTGAAGGCAAACTAGGGCCTGCGGGCCAGATACAGCCCACAGGGCTTTCTAATACGGCCCGAAAAACACTGGTCCAAAGTAAAGACTGATGTCAATCCTTCTGTTTTCTGCATTACAACGAATCGTCTGTAATTTCCATTGATGCCACTAGATGGCAGCAGACATCAAATGAGCCAAATTTTCTTTGAAAATTAAGGTTTTATTCTCGTACAAATTCTACATCCAACCAGTACTGAACTGAACCGCCAGACAAATTTTGAACTGGTCCAGGACCCAGAAGGTTTGCCCCCCCCCCCGGGGGGGGGGGGGGGGGGGGGGGACCTTATTTTACTTAGATTAGCTTTGAACAATTATCCAATTTCACTTAATTGGAAAAACTATTATTTATTTAAAACAATTAATTTGTCTTCGTTGTCTTCGTCTATGCGACAGTGAAGTAGAACAGTTTGATGATCTTCCACTAGGTGGCAGCAGATGCCAATTCCTGCCAGTATATTAGTGTAGTGTTCAACTAAACAGGATCAGGTTTCACTGTGAATAAATTAAACTTCAAGGTCATTTTATTTCATTATGTTCAGTCGTTGGAACAACAAGTTTTTCAGTTTGATTTTTTTCCGATGCTGAATTCGAGGCGCGGCAAATGTTGCTCCTGCCACAGTGTCATCGTCACAGATGTAGAAGACGACGACTCCTATTAAAGTGATATTTCCGTACTCTTGTCCTTGCCGTATCGTACAGGATGACATCGTACAGGACGACATCAGACCTGCCGCCGTCCACCTGGGGATCGACACGTATTTACACGGTCGTGTGAAGTATTTGGATATTTTATTCCAAAGCCAACAGAAGCAGAAGCCACAGAGGAAGTGATGGCGTCTTCATGGCTGCGATGAAGACCCATGATCCTCCTGGGCTCAACCTCTGATCGCCATGTCAACACATCCATCTGTGCCTCACAAAGAAAAACAACAAAAACAAAAAAAAAAAAAAACGGAAGATGACATTTTCACCGATTAATAAAGTGCCGTTAGTCTCATAAACCTGAGCCTGGACTAAAGTGTTTGATTCCTAATCTCCTGTCGGAGTCAGACTTCGACTCCTGTTCCTTTGATCACTGAGACCCCAAAGGTCAACGACCCCCAGAGCCCACGTCCAGGTGAAGGTGGGACCCCAACGATGAATTAAAGATAAATAAATAAATAAAGTCCATTCACAACGAATTGGTCTCACAGCTAAAAAAAAAATCTGCTTTTTTTGTTATTTCAATTATTTGTTTTTTTTTGTTTTGACACAAATGTTTAAATTAAAAAAGAGCAAATTAAAAATACTTCACATTTATTTTTATGTTAATTTCTTCAATTTTTACTGATCATTAAACATTGATTTATTAAATAAAAAAACAAAAAACAAAAAAACTATATTTTATTGGATGAAGTTTTTTTCAACCTTCAAATATGAACAATTTGTAAAATTAAAATTTAACATTAAAATAAAATCAAATTTTGAAATTACACAACAGATTTTTTTTCTCCTTAAAACTGAGAGAAAATCTGAAACTAAGTCAATTTTAGACCTCAGATGTGACCAAGTCCAAAGGCTGGTGCGGGGGCCAATTGCGGCCCATGGTCAAACTTTATATTTCCTGCAGCCTTTGCCATAAAATGACATGAAATGTTAATTTACAATTCATTATAAAACTTTAACGAATCTGAGGAAGAATGGTCGCCCCCCCCACATGTGTTCACGTAAAGGTTAAAGGTTAACGATGTCACTGAACAGGAGCTCTTTGGCGAACTGCAGGCTCTTAAATTATGTACGACGGCCCCCCCTACTGCAGGTTTGTGGAAGGGACTGCGGCCGTGTTCATTTGCAGTAAAACAAAATAAAAATAAATAAATCCAATAAAGATTGATCGTTAATCAGTCACAAAAAAGTGTATCAGTGCAGGAGGGAAGTCTGCCCCTGCTGGCTGAACGGACGCAGAACAGTGAAATGATAACCTCGCCGACGTGACGCTGCTAAGGTCTAACAGCGCCCACATCAGGAGGAAAGAAACACCACGTGTTCCACAAAGACTAAGGTTGGTTTTTTTTTCACCAAAAAAAAAATTAAAATAAAAACAACAAACAAAATCCGGCGTCCGTCCGATCGCGTTCGCTCCAGCCCAACACGACGGTCCCGGCTCTGGAGCAGGACGCCAGGCTGGTGCAGGAGCGAGCGGGGCAGGAGATATGGAGATCGAATGGCGGCGCAGCCAGCCACAGTGACCTGTGGCAGGCAGCGCCGACACCAGCCGCCTCTTGAAAGGAGACACAATCCCGATAAATGTATTCCTGTCAACATTGCTGCGATGCCTTTTTAATACAGCCCCGGGAGGATTCGTGGCAAGAACAGCCCGAGTCAAACTCCATTTCTCTGGGCTGAAAGAGAGATGTGACATGAGCGCCGCGCAAGTCCGGGGTAGTTTGGCAAAAGGAGGCAGCCGGAGTCTGTGAGTGTGAGTTTGAAGCAGTTTTACCAAATATCAGATGTTGAAGTTTTGTATCAGTGACATAAAATGCTAAAAACGTTGTTCAGAAAATCATCGTACGCACACGCGTTCTCACCCGTTTGAGTTTTATCTATGGAAGAATAGCAGTATTTACCTCATGTCTCACCAAGTGCTAGCTGTTGTGTTGATTGGCTGGGACGAGACCATGTGACGATGTACGATGTATGTATTAGCGTGCTCCATAAACTGCTGCGCTAATGGGTTAGCATGGCCACGGGATTGTTGGAATTTTTGATCTAACGTACAAACGAGATCGTTATCGTACCTATCTGGAAACAGGTGTTGAAGCAGTTGGCCAATCAGAAACAGAGCAGCTTGAATACATTTAGTTGCCAAAACGTCCATGACTGTAAATACTACAGTAAATCTCCCCCAGTACTACCACTAGAACCACATCAAAGTACAGCAGAACAGGCCGACACCGGTGTTTCACTGCAGCTCCTCAAGCTGAAAATATCGCCTGTTTGTCGGGACTTTAACTGCATGTCGTAGGTCAAAGGTCACCACCGACCTTTGAGCCCAAATTTTTCTGGACGGAGACT